CATAATTCGTTTTCTTACTCTTAGTTTGAATGTATCATCACCTCTCTGATATTTCTGCATGTCTGTAAACATATTTTCTTGCATCTGTTGTATTCCATATTGAACTCTAAAGGCTGTTAGAATAGGGAAACTTAGATAAATATGGTTGACAGACCAGGATGGGATCTCAGGCTTAAAAGAGCTTGTCAGTTTCTTGTAGTATTAGAAAGTGAACAAGGTTCCTCTTTTCCTCTTCAGTTCATTCCTTTCCACTCCTGGGTCTTTTGTTCTAAAGCCATTAGGTGGAGTAAGCAAGTTGTCTCCACATTGGGGTGGAGGTCAAAGCTATGGTGGCTCAAAGTCGGGAAGTTGGGATGAGAAGGCATGTTTATGGAGGTAAGTCTGGCCTGAGTGTGGGGGTCCAAGTAAGGTGATAAACGGTGGGTAGCCTCTCATAAGCAGCCTTTGCTTAAATGGGGTGAGGAGAGGAGGGTGTCCATGAGATGGAGGTAGTAGGTTGAAGTTGACTAAAAATGTATCATATAGCTGGGCGCCAGTGACTCACACCTCTAATCCTAGTTACTCAGGAGGTTGAGATATGAGGACCATGGTTCAAAGCCAGCCTGAGCAGAAAAGTCCTGTGACAGTGAACAAACAACAACAACAACAACAACAATAGCAAAATCAATTGAAGCTGTGGTTCAAGTGGTAGAACACTAGCCTTGAGCAAAAACAAAACAAAACCTCAGTAACAATGCCCAGGCCCTTGATTTCAAGTTTAAGGACAGTTGCACGCACACACACACACACACACACACACACACACACACACACACACACACACACACACAGATAATAAAATAATGTCATAGATTGGTGATATTTCAGAGTCAAGGAAGGTTATGAAACCCAAAACCATTTGAGAAGTACGCACGGCCAAGGAAGCTAAGGAGATGAGACATGGAGACATGCTTGGGCTGGATGCTTCTGCTACACAGGACATTACTGAGACAGTAGGGGCCAGTGATTTGAGTGAGCACTAGAGGGCAGTGTTGCATTAGTGTTCCTTTCCTGCTTCTGAAAGGTTGCTTTGTGGAGATTTAGCAGAATGGCCCTGTTTGTAGGAAGATAATGTGTTCTACAACTTGGGGGACAATTTACTTTCTGATCCTTGAGGGAAAGTCTTTTCTTTGAACAAACTGCTTGTGGTTTTGTCATTCTTCAGGGAGGAAACTGGTACACAGCTATACGTTATTTATTTTTCAGACTTATCTTTTTAGTTCTTTGGTTCATTATCTTGAAGTGGTTGGACAGAGGAGTTAAGATTCAGCATGTCACTTTGGGAGTACAATGCATCTTATCAGAGTCACCCCTTCTGTTATTTTCCACCATCTCTCCCAACCCCAGCCATCCTCTAAATTTACCAGATTTCATTCTCATATATATTGAATATTCTGAAATGCATTCATCCATTCTTCTCCCCACGTATCTCCCCTTCCTCCCCTTCCCCTCACCTCTGCTCCCCAAACATGTTCCAGTTTCTTGATATTTATTTTGTTAAACTGTTGAGTTGTTTAAAGGACTTATTCCACTGGACTTCTCCCCTGTATCTACCCTGTATCTACTTTAATATGTGTGTGTATATGCATATGACCCTATATATGCTTATATATATTTATATATTAGTTTTCACTTCCAAACTTGCGAGAAAACATGAGTCCTTTGTCCCTCAGGGCCTGACTTCTTTCACTGTGCATGATTGTTTTTGCAGGTCCACTCATTTCCCTGCAAATGACAAACTGTCATTCTTCCTGATAGAGAAGTAAAACGGTGTCTTTTCCTCCACTTTGGCTTCCTGTCTCTCACCTTGGCCTTGCAGATCCTCTTCAGTCCTCTATGGAGACAGCACCCCACTGTCACAGATGATGTGAGCTTTGAAGCGTGGTGCTCCTACATTTTGAATCTCAGCTTTGGGCCAAAGTTCCCAAGTCTCTACTAAATAGTATACCTTGGCCCACAGGTTTGGGCTAAATTTCTGCTTCCATCTGTCCCATGGATAAATGCTATTGAACACGAATTATCTCTGGCTAAGCCAATGTTAGCTGGTTAGAGAGTCCCTGCCTGAGACAGGGATTCTTTGCTTATGGTTTCTCAAGAGAATCCTCCCAGGAGGAGAAGAAGGGGTATGCCAGGGCCCAAGGGAAAAGCTGGGTGAAGAAGATGTTGTGTTATGGGACATGAGTCAACCTCTCCCCATGGCAAGCTCTTAAGTCACAGTTGTATTCAAGTTCACTGTTAAAAAAACAGGGCCAGTGTAAAGACTATAGACATATCAACTCTTACTTGAAGTGACTTTTATTTAGTCAAGCATGGTTCTCCAGAAAGTGGATTCACTGTGAGCTGTGGACAATTAATGCAGTGACTGGAGCATGGTCCTTGCTCAGTTAATGTGGTGTCTTCTCTACACACATTTATAAGCTTTGTGATGTTGAGAATACCATCCACTACCTTACTAAATTTATGGTATGTCACCTTCCCCATCTACAGGCTGATCAACTGTGTCACTCGATAAAAATCTGATGATCATGCCCATAATCCTAACTATTCAGGAGGCTGAGATCTGAGGATCGCTGTTAAAAGCTCAAAGCCAGCCCCAGGAAGGAAAGGCTGTGAGAACCTTATTTCCAATTAGCCACCCAAAGTGTTGGAATTGGAGCTGTGGCTCAAGTGATAGAGCACTAGCTTTGAGCACAAATGCTCAGGGACAGTTCCCAGGCCCTGAGTTCAAGACCCAGAATCAGGATAAAAAGAAAACAAAATCTGATGATTGTGTGATGTGTTTAAGACATGGACCAAGTGTAATGAGTAGGACTCAAATGGCCAATATTCATTTCCAAGACTAGATTCCAGCATTGTCACCTTCAGATTTGATTTCTTTTTAAGAAATAGCATTGCAGAAACTTTCCATGGAGCTTAAATATGAAATTGTCGGTGTCACAGAATCACTCAATTCTCTATCATGAATTCAGTGCCTTCCTTGCTCAGCTATTGTGGTGTGAGGCCTGAATAAAATAGAATATAGCCATTTTAGGTTTAGATTTCATCCAGTTAAGGCACTATAACTGAAAGTCCAGGAACTGTATCAGCAACTCCCCTTGAGCCCAAACTCTGAGGAACTAAGATAACTCCATTTTGAGCTGACACCATCATCTTGTGACAGACAGTTCACAAAATAACATCGAAGGGAAAAACAATTCTCGGAAAGACTGCAGAAGTTCCAGTCAAACAAATAAGCTCCACATAGCCCCTTACAACAGCCAATCAGGAGAAAATAGACTGCCCGAGTGCCAGATGTCCCAGTGACAGGATAGTGCGGTTTTGCAGGCCTTGAACTGCTAAACGTGGACCAATGGTACAATTTCTGTGAATATCAACCAATCATGTAACTGCTTGTGTGGAAATCCCCTAAACTTGTTTGTTTAATGCTATACAAGCTGTGCTGACTTTATGCTCGGGGCCTTGGTTGCCAAGTGTACAGAAGACCAAGCTGGAGCTTGCAAATAAACAACTCTTTTGCTATTTGCATTGGTCGTGGTCTCTAGTGATCATTCGGGGTGGGGGGGTCCCGAGTCCGAGCCCAACAACTCCAAGAACTGAGTCAGCAATTCCCCTTGAGCCCAAATTCCAGGAACAACCCTCTTTATGGAAAATTCCACTAACTACAGCTAAGTTCCAAATGTTCCTGCAAGATAAAGACCACTTGGTGGCAGCTCAGATCATCTGCTTTAGCCAGTCATTTCCACGAGCATCAGCCCCATGAACCAACCAACCCCCAGTCCCTGGTTGGTTCCTGCCACTGGTTAAACTAATCATCTTTTAGAATTATTTTATGAATTTCCTGCGGTGTGATATGATTTGCTAAGTGATGCTATGGTGTATACAATGTCCCTGAAGCCCTATAAAAACCCTGCTGAAGGAAGGTTCATGGCTCTCAACTCTTCTGACCCCCTGCATAGGTGATGGTTGTGAATCCAGGCTCAAGCTTGTAATAAACAACTTTCGTGTGATTGCATAGGAGTCAGCTCCTTCATGGTCTTTAGGGATCCTTATCTGGGCATAAGACCTGGGGGCTCCTCCGGGATCCCCCAGAGAGTTGGACCCCAATTGGTGAGTTGTGATTGTCTGCTTTCACTTCTGTGTGGTTGTGTTTCATTTTGGGGGCCGGAAATCTGAGAATTTGAAAATCTGTTCAGGCTGACATAAGACCCAGGCAGACCTGCTAGAGGGTGGTCAGTCAGGGGTCTTGGAAGACATTCCATCAGGGGTCTTGGAAGACATTCCAGGTCTTTCTAAGAGGGCGTGAAAGCCCCCCCCCCCCATAACTCTGGAAATTCTGATTGGACAAGGGAGGTCGTTCCTGTGGACTGGCCTAGAGCCAGCATCTGGTTTCATTTCTCCCTCTGGTTGACAGTTGGGATCTGTTGTTTGTCTTTTTGTGTATTAGTCTTGCTTTTGTGTGTGATTATTCTGTTCTACTTTGAGTTGCCAAGCAAAATGGGATAGACTTATACCACCCCCACTCTTCTTTCCATTTTGGAAATATTAAGGAGGTGAAAGAAAGAGGCCAGAGTTTGAGTGTAGAAATTAAAAAGAATAACCTAATTACATTTTGCAGTACGGAGTGGCCCACATTTGAAGTTGGGTGGCCTGCAGAAGGGATATCTGACCTATTCACTATCCACAGACTTATGAGTGTAATCTTCTCCCCAGGGCCTAATGGCCACCCAGACCAGATCCCATATATCCTGGTTTGGCAAGACCTTGTTGAGGACCCCCCCTTCCTGGTTACAATCTTTTTTACCTCGGCAGAGACAGGTGCTGACAAAGATCCTCGCCTTCCAAGACCGCTTTGCGGAATGGGTACAGCCCAGCACCAAACCTTTGACACCCCTTTACCCCATCTTACAAGGTGGCATTGATGAAGAACTAATTTTTCCCGAGCAGTTTTTCCCTCCCCATACCAGTTGCCTGTGTCGCCAGAGCATGTCATAGCAGAACAGCCACAGCCTCAGCTGCCGGAACTGGATGAGGCTGGAGCAGCGACTGCAACAGCAGCAGTAACGGCAGTGCAGGGACGAGGGGGAGGGCACACAGGGCAGTCTCCCTTGGCCCCCAAGGGCCTGCAGATTCCACCGTGCTTCCCTTGCAGGCAGCCGGACCCCCTGATGCAACCGGCAACCAACTCCTTCACTACTGGTGACCGAGACAACTAGAAAAATCAAAATGCTCCATTTTCTGATAACCCTAACGATTTTATTAATCTTTTAGATACTGTTTTGTTTACACATCAGCCCACAAGGGACGATTGCCAGCAGCTCCTCCGAGGCCTATTTACCATGGAGGAACTGGAGAGAATCCAAGCTGAGGCCCGGAAACGCATTCCCAGAGAGGACGGGCAACCAACAATAAACATTGACCTCATCCACCACACCTTTCCCCTTACATGACCATCTCCCCAGGAGTGGGATTTCAACACAGAAAGAGGTAAGGAGAGGCTCCGGGTCTATCGCCAGCATCTAATGGCGTGTCTCAAAGTGGCTGCTCGCAAGCCCACTAATATGGCCAAGGTGTATGGTGTTCAGCAAGGTAGAGAGGAGTCCCAGGCTGCATACCTAGAAAGAATATAGGAGGCGTTTTGACAATACACCCCCATGGATCAGAAGCAAATGAATGTCAGGCAGCAGTGATAATAGCATTTATAAATCAGGCGGCACAGACATTAAAGGAAGTTACAAAAGATAGAAGGCCTAGAGGGGAAAAATTTGCAGGACCTGATAGCAATAGCAGAGAGAGTGTATAACAACAGAGAAACTCCAGAAGAAAAGCAAGTGAGACTGAGGGCTGAAGCTAGAAGGACCAGAGAAATAGAAAGGGCTGAGGAAAGGAGAGCTAGAGCAGGGGAAAATTCGAGACAGACTCGGGACATGGCAAGGGTCCTCCTAGTGGCCACAACCAGAACCATGTGTAAAAGATGGCACCAATTGCAAGACCTGGCAAAAGACCAACGTAGGGATGGTCGTCAGCGGGAGCATCCCAAGTTACAAAAGGATCAGTGCACCTACTGTAGAGGAACAGATCGCTGGGTAAACAACTGCCCAAAGAAAGCCAAATGGAAGGCTTATGAGTCTGGGTGCGGATCCTTGCCGAATGCTGGTCACTGAGGCTGAACTCAGAGACTAGGGAGGATAGGGTTTGGCTCTCCCCCCTGAACCCACGGAAACCCTCAGAGTGGAGGAGACTCCAATTAATTTCTTAGTGGACACTGGGGCTCAGCATTCAGTCCTACTTGAGCCCCAAGGCAAATTGTCTGGCAAAACTTCCTGGGTACAGGGAGCCACCGAGATGACCCAATACTCATGGACTACCCGAAGAACAGGGAACCTAGGCGTGGGCCAGCTAGCCCACTCATTCACAGTCATCCCAGAGTGCCCATAACCCTTACTGAGACGAGACCTGCTCACCAAAATAGGAGCCCAAATTCATTTCGAACTGAATGGAACCTCAGTCCTGGATCATCAAGGCCGCCCCATCCAGGTCCTAACCCTAAGTTTAGATGATGAATAGACTACTTCAAGAGCTGCTGCCACCGGCAGACAACTTAGACTATTGGCTGCAGACATTTCCTGAAGCCTGGGCAGAGACTGAGGGAATGGGGCTGGCAAAGCATAGACCAGCGGTGTATGTAGAACTGAAACCTGAAGCGGATCCAGTTAGGGTCCAACAGTGCCCCATGCCTCTAGAGGGCTGGACAGGGATTACACCCTACATCTGGTGGCTACTGGAGCTGGGGATACTAGGACCCTGCCAGTCCACGTGGAACATTCCACTCCTGCTGGTTTGCAAGCTGCAGGCCAATGATTATTGGCCAGTACAAGGCTTAAGAGAAGAAAATAAGCAGGTTATGGACATACACCCTACAGTTCTAAACCTGTATACCCTTCTCAGTTCCCTGCCACCAGACTGACAGTAGTATACAGTCTTAGATCTGAAAGATGCTTTCTTTAGCCTGCCCTTGGCCCCCAGGAACCAAGAGCTGTTTGCCTTTGAATGGACTGACCCTGAAAAAGGCATCAACGGGCAACTGACCTGGACTGGGTTGCCCCAAGGATTTAAGAATTTGCCTACCATCTTTGATGAAGTACTACATGAAGACATGTGTGAGTTTCGTCTCACTCACCCTAGCTCGACTCTCTTACAGTATGTAGATGACCTCTTAATTGCACCCAAAAGTTATGAAACATGCCTGCAAGGGACTAAAGGCTTGCTCCAGACTCTAGGAGACCTGGGATACAGGGCACCTGCCAAAAAGGCCTAGAGCTGTAAACCTGAGGTAAACTATCTGGGGTAGCTGTTAAAAGAGGGCCAGAGGTGGCTAGCAAAGGCTACAAAAGAGATTGTGCTTAAAATCCCTAAGCCGCAGAGTTCTTGCCAAGTTTGTGAGTTCCTGGGGTCTGCTGGCTTCTGTAGATTGTGGATTCTGGGGTTTTCTGAACTGGCAAAGCCCCGCTATGAAGCCTCTAAAGAGGGAAAGCAGTGGCAATGGACTGATGATTTGGAAAAATCCTTTGAGTAGAGCCCTGCTGTCACCCCCTGCTCTCGGGATGCCTGATGTGACAAAACCTTTCTATCTGTATGTGGATGAGTGCAAGGGAGTAGCCAAAGGAGTGTTAGTTCAACATTTAGACCCCTGGCGGAGATGGGTAGCATATCTTTCCAAGAAATTAGACCCTGTCGCAGCTGGGTGGCCACCCTGCTTGTGAATGTTAGCCACAACTGCGCTACTGGTCAAAAGATGCTGACAAACTCATGCTGGGGCAAGAACTGCATGTAATGACCACCCATGCAGTTGAAGGAGTCCTTAAGCAACCTCCTGACCACTGGCTCAGTAAAGCCCGGCTCACACATTATCAAGGCTTGTTGCTAAACCCGCCCAGAATTACGTTCCAGGCACCGACTGCACTGAGCCCAGCCACCCTGCTACCTGATCCCGACTTGGAAGCTCCACTTCACGACTGTGCTGAGATCTTGACCCATGTGCATGGAATCCAAGCAGACCTGAAAGACCAGCTCTTGTCGGATGCAGAACTTGTCTGGTTTACAGATGGTAGCAGCTTCGTTCGAGGTGGTCAGAGGTATGCTGGGGCAGCGGTGATAGCTGGAGCAGAGGTTGTATGGAACTACTCCTGACTGGGATCTCTGCACAGCGGGCAGAACTGGGGGCATTAACTAAAGCATTGACTCTGGGAAAAGACAAAAAGTTGACTGTCTATACTGACAGCCACTATGCCTTTGCCACTGCCCATGTACATGGGGCCATATACAAAGAAAGAGGACTGCTGACAGCTGAAGGGAAAACTGTTACAAACAAGGAAGAAATCCTAGCCTTGTTAGCAGCCCTGTGGCTACCAAAGAAACTGACTATAGTACATTGCCCAGGACACCAAAAATCTAAAGATCCTGTAGCACGGGAAAACAATTTCACAGACAAAACTGCCCAAGAAATAGCCCTCCAAGTAGACCGGACCTTGGTGACTACTCTACATGACCCTGGTTTGCGCAGCCTCTCTGAGCACCCCAACTATACCGAAGAGGAAGTAGAATGGATTAAAAGACTGCCCATGGCCCAATACCTGGATGGATGGTGGCAAGACTGAGTGCAGGTATCATCCTCCCAGAGAAGTTGGGGGAGCAAGTGCTACTTAAGATGCACCGCTCAATGCATATGGGGGGCACTAGGAAGATGCAAGACCTGGTGAGGCATGCAAAGATAAAAATCAGAAATGCCAATTCAAAAATTGAACAAATCATTGCCTGATGCAGAGCTTGTCAACTGACCAACGCAACCCAGAGTGAGCCAAACCCTGGGTCCAGACAAAGAGGAGACAAGCCAGGATCATACTGGGAAGTGGATTTCACAGAGGTAAAGCCTGGGAAGTTTGGGTATAAGTATTTGTTTGTTTTTGTAGACAGTTTTTCAGGATGGACAGAGGTGTTTCCTACCAGGCGTGAGACGGCGTAGATGGTGGCCAAGAAACTGCTGGAAGACATTTTACCCAGGTTTGGCCTTCTAGTAATGATAGGTTCAGATAATGGACCAGCCTTTGTATCCTTTGTATCTTGGGGCTGATTGTAAACTTCATTGTGCATATAGACCCCAAAGCTTAGGGCAAGTAGAGAGAATGAATAGAACCTTAAAAGAGACCTTAACCAAATTGACCATGGAGACTGGCGGGGACTGGGTGTCCATACGCCCTTTACAGGGTGCATGACTCCCCTTATAAAATAGGACTAACTCATTTTGAGATTATGTTTGGGAGATTTCCACCCATTATTCCTAACCTGCAATCACACCTGCTAGTTGAATTTAATAATCATGAATTCTTATCCTCCCTCAAGGCCCTACAGCGGGCCCACCAGGAAATCTGGCCAAAACTAAAGGCCCTCCATGAGACTGGACCCCCTCCTGAGCCTCATCGCTTCTGACCTGGAGACTGGGTCTACGTGAAGTGCCATTGGCAAGACACCCTGGAATCTCGCTGGAAAGGACCCTATGTGGTGATTTTGACTACCCCCATGGCTCTGAAGGTTGATGGAATTGCCACCTGGATCTACTACACCCACAGACCCTTTTGTGCTGGGGGAGGACTTCCTGCCACAGTGGCAAGTTTCCCGCTACAAGGACAATCCCTTTAAGCTTAAGTTGTGCCGCATCCCCTAAGCTACATGATGGTATTGTTGGTTTTATTACTTTTACCCCTGAGCTATGCAAATCTCCATATTCCCTGGGCATGAGTAATTAGTAACCCTGGGCCTGGGGATGACAAGTCCTTCAATCCCAGATAGGACCTCAACTTCCCTGGTTCCCTGATTTAACCTTTGACTTATGTCAGCTGGCAGAGGGCTTGCCTGCATTCATCCATGGACTACCTGGCTATCCCACCCCCCAGTGTATGCATTGTTCATTTTATGTCTGTCCTGAAGTGAAGCATTCTGCTTCCTATGGGGGGGACCAAGATTACTACTGTGCTCCCTGGGGATGTGAGAATTTTGCTACAGATTGGAGGGCCAAAGGAAGGGATTTAATAGAAATGGTTAGAACCCAGCAAAGGATCCAGTTTAAGTTCACGGATAAAGGAAAAAAGGACCAGACTTGGGAATCAGGTAAATCATGGGGCCTCCAACTCTATAAATGCTATTCTAGACAGACAGGGTATATCCCTGCGGGGGGATGGAGGCCTCCTCTTTACCCTCCGGCTTCTTAAAACCCCAACCATTAAGGCGCTGGGACCCAACCTGGCTTTTGTACCAGCCCACCAGCTAAGCCGGTGGGGGATGTTAACCCTACCAGAGTTACTGAGAAAAACCGTATAGATGGTCCTATCCCTACTCCAGCAGGGAAAAAAGACTCAGACCCTTTATCGAACCTATTAGTAAGCACCTTCCAGGTCATTAATGCCTCCCAACCAGAACTCACTCAATCCTGCTGGCTTTGCTATGACATTTACCCACTCTTTTA